GCCTTTCCAAGCCTAGAGGTGGCTCCTGAGGCCTGGGCTGGGTGGAGCTTGGGGGTGGCGGTCATGAGGGTGTGGGGTGAGGCCTGGGGGTGCAGTGAGCACGCCTGGAGTCTGAGGCCCGTGGCCTTGTGCCCGGGCCTCGTGCTCGCCTTTCATCTTGCCTGTCCCTGGGCCTTTCCTCCTCCTGCTCTGGGCCCCCACCAAACACTGCTGCTCTCAGCCTGGTCTGTGCCTCCCCGGGCCCCCTCTGGCATGGAAAGCAGTCTGACAGCCTCTCCCTGGCCCTCCAGGGGCTTTGGCAGGAAAGGACCAAAAGGCTGAGCAGGAGTCTGCAGTTCACGGGGAGGCCCACCAGCCGCTTCCGGTCCTGCCAGAGCACACGGGGTGGCGGTTTAGAGGAGCGGAGTTGGGGGGGAGGGGAGGGGGGAGCAGCTGTCCCTGAGTGTGGCCAGGCTACCGCTGGCCAAGAGGGAGGCGGCGGCGTGGGGAGGGGAGAGCGGCTGTGGCCAGTCAGCGGCCTGCTTCACCTGCTGCCTCCGAGGCTGTCCGGGCGGCGGGCGCTGCCATGCAGTTGGCCGAACCGAGCGCCGGACGCGCTAGAAGTTGCTGCAGCTCTCCCAGCCCCTGGCACGCGGGCTCTGTCTGCGGGAGCCAGCCTCGCCTTCTTGCAGCTGCAGGGCCCGTGTGTCCCCCACGGGAAGTGCTGGTGCAGAGGGGTGGGAAGTCCTCGCCCCGGCCGCCTGGTGAGGGAGCCAGCTGTGGGTTCTTCCCCTCCATGCCGCAAGGACGAGGAGCGAGGAGGCTGTCTGAAACAATTAGGAACATGATTTTTGTTTGTTTGGGGTTTTTAACTAGTTTCTGAAACTACCGGTAGTCAAGGTCAGAGGGAATCTGTGTATCAGGGCAGCCTCTCCCTGGCTCCTCTCCCAACCCCCATGAGGAGCTACAGGAAAATGTTAAAATTATTGGCATTGCAGGCCAGGATTCTTGCAGCCCCGAGCATCGGCTACACATCTAATTCTTGCTGTTTGTTGCCGGTAGACCTGAAGCCCCAGGCGCTGGCGGGCACCGTGCCTTGCCTCCCTGCCTACATCCTCTACATGTGCATCAGGCACGCAGACTACGTGAACGACGACCTCAAGGTGCACTCCCTGCTGACCTCCACCATCAATGGCATTAAGAAGGTCCTCAAGGTCAGTGTCCAGGCCGAAGGTGGTGGTGTGTGGGGAACTCGGGGAAAACAACAGCTCACCGCTGCTTCTCTCTGTCTGGGTTTTGTGATCGCAAGTTCTCTGAAATCTCCAGGTCTGAAGGTAAGTGACACCTGGCCTCTAGATAAACAGGATACCAGAATCTTTCGCCACGTGCTCCCCAACACCCCTTATGTTGGATCACTGATGGTGAGAACCTGCCAGGCCAGCTGGCCCAGTGCTCACAGCAGAGCCCGGGGCTGCTGGAGTCAAGCTCGTCTGTGTCACTTGGCTTTGTAGTCGTCAGCTGTAGAGGCAGCTGACGTGTGTGGACCACTGATCGGGGACCAGGGCTGGGTCGTACATCATCCCCGGTAGTGGAAGAGCAGTCACGCAGCCTCGCGGGGATGGCTGTCTTCTGTGTGACTGTGATTAGTAAGGGCCTGCTTGCCATCAGATCTGCTTGGGGCCTACTGGGTAAGAGAAGGAAACGTGGACATGGAGGGACCAGGTGAGCATCTGACCAGATGGGAACCACTTACTTATAACCAGGAACCTCTTTTTCTTTTCACAGAAGCACAATGATGACTTTGAGATGACATCGTTCTGGTTGTCCAATACCTGCCGCTTCCTGCATTGCTTGAAGCAGTACAGCGGGGATGAGGTGAGTGTAAGATAAACCCAGTCCCCTAAAGTGCACTTAAACACTGTCGAGGTGCCCCATGTTCTTCAGCAGTTAGGCCCTCGTTTCCTTGGGCTCAGCAACACGTGTTCCACTTCAGAGCACCTCAGATCTCAGGTCAGAATGGAGGGCAGAGGTTTCGGTCATAGAAGGCATCTCTGTTTTGTCCAAATGTCATTCTGAGCTGCTTTGTATCCCTTGAAGAGAGGGTGTGAGATCTTTGGATCCCCTCTGGGACCTCAGGCTCTGGGCGTGCCTTCTGCACCTGTTCACTGGAAGCAGGAATAAGGCAGGCCTCGATGACCCCAAGGGCCCCTGGAAAGCACCCTGAATGAATAAGTGGATTTGTAGGGAAATGAATTTGCGTAACCCATCCATCATCTGAGAGCCCTCGGGACTCCCCCTGAAAACGCTGTGACCTTAATTTTCTGAAGCAGTCCTAGAAGAGCCCCATTGCTGTGAATGCAGAAAGCTCAATTGTCTGGGATGTCAGATTGTCTCCTAAGCCAACCAGTTACTTTGTCCATTTTCAGACAGACAGAGATGGTCCAAGGGAAGAGGCACAATGTAGCTGAACTACATCTGTGCAAACTGACCCTGAGGCCCAGCTTCGAGCTTCTCACCAAATTCAGTTCCTTGGCCTGAGGCCCAGCTCACCCCATCACTTAATGTTCTGCTCTGGACCTCTAGGGTCCAGCTTTATCTAGAACTCACCATTCCCACTGCTGGCCCTCGAAAGAACTTTTCCCATGCTCTGCATTCAGCCCAGTGACCTAGTAACATATGGCCCATTTTCACCCTAATTTCTCCGGTGAGAATCCCAACTCGTCCCAGGCACTGCCCACTCCCAGTGCCCTGCAGGCCTCCTTGACTTTCCTTCTCCCCTTCCTTTCACATATCTCACTCTCCACCCTCCCTCCCCAAGGCCAAGACAGTGTAAATCAATATAGTGCAACAATTTTGAAAGCTTTATTCCATCTTTTGTGCCAGAACAAGTTTTCACAGACTCTTCTCCCTGGGATAATAAAAGGGTATGCCATGCCAGTCAGTGTTGCCACCCTTGGAATGGCACTTGACTCCATCTCTCTCCTAGAATCAGAACTTTGATACAGCTGCTTTTATTTTGAAAGGGAGTGGGTTAAATATTAAAGAAATAGTGTTTACTGTATTATTGGAAGAAATGGGCTTCATTTCAAACCAGATGTCCTCTATTCTGTAACCCTGATATTATATACAAGCTTTCACTTTAAGCAGAGAACTGCATTTAAGGTTATCTCGCTGAGAATCATCACTTGACCCAATGTTGTCTGTACCCTGCAGGGAACATTACATAGGGCTAGGGAGGACCAAGAACTCCATTACGTTAGGCTATTGTTTCACGTGCTTATATTCCCAGGGACAAGACTTGAACCACAGCATAACCATATCTATGTAGCCTAAATAACAGCTATCTTGTTATCCCCTCTTCTGCCTGCTTTTTTTTTGCTTTTTTTTTTGGCTGTGTTGGGTCTTCATTGCTGCGTGCAGGCTTTCTCTAGTTGGGCTACTCTTCCTTACGGCGTGCAGGCTTCTCCTTGCGGTGGCTTCTCTTTGCTGCGGAACACGGGCTCTAGGCCTGCGGGCTTCAGTAGTTGTGGCACACGGGCTCAGTAGTTGTGGCTCGCGGGCTCTAGAGTGCAGGCTCAGAAGTTCTGGCACACGGGCTTAGTTGCTCTGCAGCATGTGGGATCTTCTCGGACCAGGGCTCAAACCCGTGACCCCTGCACTGGCAGGCGGATTTTTAACCACTGTGCCACCAGGGTAGTCCCTTCTGCCTGCTTTTGTTTTCTTTAAAAATGGATTTGTGATTTGACACAGTATGAGAGGCTTTGCCGGGGATAGTTACCCTTTTGAAAACACTGACCTTCTGGCTGCTCTTGGTTCCCCTTGGCCTGAATACAGAGAGACATTGGTCACATGAGTCCTTTTGATATTAGCAGCTCTTTGAACTTGCATGTTACTTCATCTTGTCAACATAGAAAGCTAAGAAGACATAGTGCTGTAGCTGTGGAATAATTTCAGTTCATCCATTAATTCTGATACTCAGTGATAGAATCCACATAAATTTCTCATTTTAAAAACATATACTCTGACCTGGGTACTTCTTTAGGGACTGTGTATAATCTAATATTTTAGGGTAACTTGGTATATTGGGAAGAGAATTGGGTAAAGAGTCAGAAAGCACGGATTCCCTCTTTCCCTGGACCTGCTACCAACCTTCACTTTGCTACCTTAGGGAAACTTCAGGGATTTGGACTAAACGACTGCAGCCTTTTTCATTAAGCAGTTTTGAGTCCGCTATCTGCTTAGTTTTGACACTGCCCTCAAATCTAAGAGCCATCACCGAGACCTCAAAGAACCAACAGGGTCTGGTAGAACATCATATTAGCAGACAGAGCCTGATCGGGCCCCACAAATAGGGTATTGAGAAAGTGACTGGAGGCCCAGAAGGCCTGCTGAGCATGGCAGGCCACGGAGCCTCAGCACAGCACCCATCTGCCTCTGCAGGGCTTCATGACTCAGAATACGGCGAAGCAGAATGAGCACTGTCTTAAGAATTTTGACCTCACTGAATACCGCCAGGTGCTGAGCGACCTTTCCATTCAGATCTACCAGCAGCTCATTAAAATCTCCGAGGGCCTGTTGCAGCCGATGACAGGTAAGCTGGCACGGGAGATCTCCTGCGCTCATCATGGGATCCGAAGTGAGGGTAAGCACTTCCTACATTTAGGGAACCAGGTGTCTTAGGTGCGGCCTCCAGAAAGCCAGGACCTCCCCAGTGAAGGAAGCTGAGGAGATGTGTGCCATCTACTTAAAAGCAGTTATGAACTTTGCAGCACCAGCCCGTCAAAGCATGTGATGCTTGGGTGGTGAGAGTACAGATCACTTTTCCTTTATCTCTTTTTCTGTAATATACTGTATTTCTTTTCCCAAAACAAACTAATTTCCATAAGTAATAAATATAAATTCAGAAAGTGTAAATGCATGTACAGTGAAAAGATATAATCCGCTTGCCCATATATATACTTTATTCATGGAAAAAGGAACGCATTAACTATGTTCATATAAATGAACACAGTAGTAAACGCTCATGCAATAAATATTTATTAAACATTCTGTCCAAAGCAGTACACTTGGGCACTTAACATGAAATCAGATTTGAAAATCAGAGCAGTTATTTTTTAAGTCATGAGAAAAGTGTGACACGTATATGCATCACTCACTGTGCTCCTTAAAGGCTGTTGAGGAAATAGTCTCCTGGACCATGTAAGTAATTCTTTCCCCAGGTTCTTACAACACGAGTAGGTTACAAGTGAATTCCAAGTAGGACAGAGTCCTACATGCCATCCAGAAATATATCCCTTGGGATAAGATTCATTCCAAATCCTTCTTCCTGTCTGAGACTCTTATGAGGTGCCAGTTTATTCTCACCAGACAGGGAGAACTGGGGATGTTTCATGGCTCAGGTTAAGATGATGGTTAACAGCATCAGTTCTGGAATCAGACATACCTGGGTTCAAATCCTGGCCCTGCCACTTCCTAGCAGGGTGACCTTGGGCAAGTTATTTAACCTTTTTATGCCTCAGTTTCCTCATTAGGAAATGGGTTGTTGGAAGATTAAAAGGAATACTGAATATAAAGTGCCTGACCTGTAGTTAAGTGCTGGGCAGTAAGTGTGACAGACCAGCTCACCTAAGATTTACATGGTCGGTGGCTGATGGAGAAAAGCCATTTGAACACCTATAGGCTGATCTCAGGGTCCAGGCCCAGGTCAGTGGCTGGGCCATGACTATACCCAAGTTGCTCCATTTTGGTCTCTCAGCACAGAAGCCACAACAGAATTAAGTCGGTACGTGCCTTTTACCTCTGTCCCATCACCAATAAATTTACGCGAAAATGTGGTCCACAGGTTTAGTCCAAGATTTCTATGTGGAAGTCCTATTCTGTGTAGAAATCAACAGGTTAGAAATTCCATGCCAAATGCATGTCGACCTTGTTCACCTCTGGGTGGGATCACTGCCAAAGCCCTGAGTACTGTGTGATCTCAGTGACCCGAAAACAGATCTTCCTTGGGAACACGCAGCTTCTCTAATCATGCTTCTCTTTCAGTGTCTGCCATGTTGGAGAACGAGAGCATTCAGGGTCTGTCTGGGGTGAAGCCCACGGGCTACCGGAAGCGCACCTCCAGCCTGGCGGATGGAGATAAATCCTACTGCCTGGAAGCCATCATCCGCCAGATGAATTCCTTCCACACAGTCATGTGCGACCAGGGCCTGGACCCCGAGATCATCCTGCAGGTGTTCAAACAGCTCTTCTACATGATCAACGCGGTGACTCTCAACAACCTGCTTCTGAGGAAGGACGTCTGCTCCTGGAGCACAGGCATGCAGCTCAGGTACGAGAGGCGCCTTGGCCTGGCACACACCAGCCCCAGTCGGGCACGGGACACTTGTCTGTGAGACTGAAATCCAAATGCAACTGATTGTCCTTGTCACAGTCAGTATGTGACTCAGATCCATCACCTTTTTATTGGTTGGTGAAATTCATCACACACTGAGATGGTGACCCGGTAAACAAATTAGTTCAGAGCTTAAACACATTTACATACTTTAATATAAAGATTGTAAACATGAGGTGGATAGGTCAGAGAGAAAAATTAATGACTTAAGAGGCATGAAAGTACAAACATGTTTGCGAATGTTAAATGTTAAGTTTTAATTCAATATAGTTAATGCCTTTTTTTCTCATTAACTTAGTACAGACACTTTAGGTACTTCATCTTGGCTTGATTTTAAGCACCCACTCTTTCACAAGAAGTTATTGAGCGCCAGGTACTTCTCACGCTTTTGCCCATGTGGGACAATTAAGATGAGGAGAATGATAGCACTAATGGCAGCTGGCCTGCAAAATAAACACAAGAGGTGACCTCTTCCCAGTGAAGTAGGAGGCCAGGTTTAACAGAGCTCACTTTTCCTGTGTCTAAGGTACAATATAAGTCAGCTGGAGGAGTGGCTTCGGGGAAGAAACCTGCACCAGAGGGAAGTTGTTGAGACCATGGAACCTCTGATCCAAGCAGCCCAGCTCCTGCAGTTAAAGAAGAAAAGCCCCGAAGATGCAGAGGCCATCTGTTCCCTGTGCACCGCCCTCAGCACCCAGCAGGTGTGGTCACTGTCAGCCGAGGGCCTCAGAGCAAGCCCAGCTTCCATTTCAAGTCTGTTCCTGCCGGTGGTTGTTTCTTAGTGTGGCACTCCTGGCCCTTTCTGCTCCCAATGATACAGTCCTGAAGGTCCAGAGGATGGGATGTTCCTGGATGAACCAAAGGCTACTTCGGTCTATGAAACAAGATGCCACGGTTTCCCAGTAACTCTGTGGTGTCTCTTGCTTACGTAGAAAGATAAGGTAGTCAACCCACAAAACGTCAAGCTTAGGCGCACACTCTTTTAAACGCTTACAGTGAATTCCGGAATGTCTCTCACCTAGGAACTTAAGCATCCAGCATTTGGCATTAAATTGTTTTCTTTACAGCTATGATTCCATTATGGTCCTGTTTTCACTTAGCATCCGTTTACATTATTTTAAATAAAGTCAGTGAGAATCTAGCTAGAGGCATTTAAATGTTCCTTTCCTTTTCCCCTCAAAATTGTATTTGTACTAGGACTCGGTTGCAGAGATATTACCAGTCTGTAAAAAGATAAATCTTGTCCACACACAGGTGACCTTGCCCTCCGTCATGAATGTGCCTATTTAGAAATGGGCCCGCCACAGGGTGGTAGTGCAAAATGAGACCAGCATGAGGAAATCAGATTTTCCAGATTAAATCATGCACCTTCTCCCTGCCCAGCACCTAAAGAACAGCAAAATCCAAACTCAGCATTGCAAAGTGAACATACATTTCCTTACCTCCTCCACTAACTACTAAGAGATGAGATCCCAAACTCTTAGGAAAACGGCTTCCTTCTACAAGTGTACTGAAAGTTTTGAAACTTTTTAAAATGTTGCTTTCACAAGTTTACTCCTAGACTGCAACTGGCTTTGCTCTGCCCCTGGGCTGGCTACTTCCCCCAGACAGTTGGTAGCAGACAGAGGATTAGCTTCCACTTAGACAGGAGTAAAATCTGTTCCTTCGTAAGTGATTTTGGGGGTGGGGGGAGGTAGGAAGGCTTTGTTAAGACCTTTGTCATATAAGGTAAGATACCCAGGACTCTTTAAATGAAACCTTTAAGTTACTCGTGGATAAGAGGCTGAGTGCTTCAGGCAGCAGGTTCCTAAAATCCTCATTACTTTATAAGCCACGGAGCGTAGAGGGCAGGGTGGGCAGGTATACGGGAGAGAGGAATGGGGTAAGAGAGCTCAGATCTTCCAGGCAGAGCTTCCGGACTCTAGTTTACTAAATGTAGACCCCTAAACATCAGGCCCGCTGTATCTAAACTGTGGATCTTGCCTAAAGAGAAGTGTCCTCCCGTGCCAATGTCATATGTTCTTTAAAATTCAAAAGTTGTCTTATGTTCACTTAGCTCTGTGCTAAACTTTTGTTTTTATTCCAACAGATTGTCAAAATTTTGAACCTTTATACTCCCCTGAATGAATTTGAAGAACGGGTAACAGTGGCCTTTATACGAACAATCCAGGTGAGTTTTAAAATACTAATCAATTTTATAAAGTCCTAGTGTAAAACAAATAAAAGAATTGGTAGTTTAGATTTTAACCTTGCTTCTCTTTATTAATGAAATAACGTTACATTCTAGAAGACCTTACATTTTTAGGTGTTCTCTTTAGGTAAATATGAGCCACACCACCCATGATAACTTATCACATACGCACAGAAGACTGAACTTCAATCATCTCTGCCTCTCAGATCTTAGACATTGTCTAAGTAGTTCATTTGCCACTAGCATGTTACTAAACTATAGCACAAAATGAAATTAACAAAGTAAGCGGAATATCACCCCTACCCACAAATGGAACTAAGAAATACTCTTTTCAGAAAACAACTTGAGCTCTTAAATCTTGACTCTTAAGGCTTACAATATTTGCCCTTAGGAATATGCTTGAAAGAAAACATTTCAGGGAAATGATTATTTAAATCTGTCTTAAGAGTATGGGAATTTTTACATAAAGATGAGCTGCCTGGGCTTCCCTGGTGTCACAGTGGTTGAGAATCTGCCTGCTAATGCAGGGGACATGGGTTCGAGCCCTGGTCTGGGAAGATCCCACATGCCGCGGAGCAACTAGGCCCGTGAGCCACAACTACTGAGCCTACGCGTCTGGAGCCTGTGCTCCGCAACAAGAGAGGCCACAATAGTGAGAGGCCCGCGTGCCGCGATGAAGAGTGGCCCCCGCTTGCCACAATTAGAGAAAGCCCTCGCACAGAAACGAAGACCCAGCAGAGCCAAAAATAAATAAATAAATAAATAAGAAGACCCCAAGATCACTCTTTCAAAAAGAAAAAAAGATGAGGAGCATAAGCTGAGCCCTAGGTGATCTGGGCTGAGTGCCTAACCTTTGCGGGCGCTGTAGCGGACAGCATGTAAATGATGAGTCACATCAAGATTACTCAAAAAACGAGGAGCATTTCTCCCATTAGTATATGTGGGTAACATTTTGAGGAGACCTAATACTTTCTCAAACTTTTAAACAACCTCTTTAGCCTGTGAAGTAATTGTCAATATGAAACAACGATAAAATGAAATGGGGAAAAGTAATCAGAGGAAGAGGCAGGAAAAGAATAAATTAACTTGAGCGTCATGTATAAGTAGAGAATAGAGGCTGAAGATCAAGGGAGGGTGTTCTCTTAAAGGCAGTGGGGGAAACGCAGTGGTTTATTAAAGATTGGGGTCACAGAGAAGCAGGCAGAGCCACCAACACAGATACTGTATAGTCAGCTGCTGAAAAGTCTGATGACAGAAGCCATTGAGTTCTCTGACCCGCTGCTGTCTTTATGGAGAGTTGAGAATTTACACAAAGCAAAGTGCAGATTTAGAAAGTCTTTTCTGTCTTTAAATATCTGAAACACACATTAGAGGGAGAGCTGTAACTGCTTATAAATTGGCACTGTTTACAGAAGAGTTCAGGCCAAAGGTCAAAGAATATGAGCCAAGTCAGACTTGGGTTTGAATTAAGGAAGTAGGAAAAAGACAATGGAAGTTGGTCAGATATTCTCTGGAGACATGTACAGTCAGATTCTGAGTCTTCCTTAGCAGTCAATTCCCATGTCCAGCAATTCTTTCAAAAGATGGTTTTTTGGTTTGGTTTTTCTTTCTAGAGTTTTATGTTCTGTTTCTCCCTAGACAGTGCTCAGAGGAAAGGCTCGGACAATCCATGCCATCCTCCTGTACTTGAACCTTATGTAGGATAAATACAAGTTGCTTATTAAAGCAAACCATTTACTTGGGTGGTGAGGACAGAATATGCTGACCTATAAGAATGTAAATTTAAGGGGATTGTTAAACACACCAAAGGATTCCCACCAGCAATGCATGAGGTATATACATACACAGGAATATCAGTCTTGTATTTTTGTATGTTGAACCACCCTTGCATTCTGGGGATAACTCCAAATTGGTCATGTATATGTTTGTTAAGTCTAACTGGTTTATAGTGGTGTTCTTTGGCCTCTGTTTGCTGTTGATCTTCCATATGGTTGTTCTATCCATTATTGAAAATGGGGTATTGAAGTGTCCAACTATTATTATAGAACTGTTTCTCCCTTTAATTCTGTCCATTCTTGTTTCATGTATTTTGAGCTCTGTTGCTAGGTGCATGTATATTTGTAACTCTTATATATTCTGGATAGACTGAGCCTTTTACAGATATATAATGTCCTCCTTTGTCTTTTGTAAACTTTTTTTATTTAAAGTATATTTTGTATGACAATAATATAGCCATTTCAGCTCTTTTCTGATTACTTGGAATGTCTTTTATCAAACTTTTACTTTCAAACTTTTTGTGTGTCTAAACTGTCTCTTGTAGATAGCATGTAGATGGATCATGTTTTTTCAGTCCATTCTGCCAATCTCTGCCTTTCAATTGCCTTTAAATTTACATTTAAAGTATTACTGATAAAGGATTTACTTCTGCCATTTAGCTACTTGTTTCCTGGATGTCTTAATATGTTTTGTGTTTTTCAATTCTTCCATCACTGCCTTTTTGTGTGTTTATTTCTTGTAGCGAGTGTATCATTTTGATTCCCTACTTTCCTTTTCTGTATATTTTTTAGTTATTTTCTTAGTGGTTACTGTGGTGATCACTATTCACATCTTCAACTTATAACGACCTAGTTTAAATAATACCAACTTAGTTTCAGTAGTACACAAAGACCCTGCTGCTATACGTCCCCACCCCTCTGCCTTTATATTGTTATTGTCACAGATCACATCTGTTATACATGCGTACCCATTAACAGAGATTTATAATTATTTTCTGCATTTGTATAAATCATACAAGAAAAGGTGCTACAAACCAAAAGTATAATGCTGGCTTTTACATTTACCTATGTTGTTAGCTTTACCAGTGTTCTTTATTTCTTCTTATGGCTTGATTTCTTACAGCTTTGAGCTACTGTCTAATGTCCTTTCATTTCAGCCTAAGGACTTTCTTTAGTTACTGGTAACCAGATCCTTCTGCTTTTGTTTATCTGGAAATGACTTAGTTGTCCCTCAGTACCTGTGGGGGATTGGTTCTAGAACCTCCATGGGTACCAAAACCTGTGGATGCTCAAGTCATTTACAAAAAATGACATAGTATTTGCATGTAAACTATGCACATCCTCTGTACACTTTAAATCATCTCTAGATTACTTACAGTACCTAATACAATGTAAATGCTATGTAAATAGTTGGCAGCATGTATCAAATCCAAGTTTTACTTTTGGGAACTTTCTGCAATTTTTTAAAAATTAATTTATTTATTTATTATTTTTGCTGTGTTGGGTCTTCATTTCTGTGCGAGGGCTTTCTCTAGTTGTGGTGAGCAGGGGCCACTCTTCATCGCGGTGTGCGGGCCTCTCACTGTCGCGGCCTCTCATTGCAGAGCACGAGCTCCAGATGCACAGGCTCAGTAGTTGTGGCTCACGGGCCTAGTTGCTCCGCGGCATGTGGGATCTTCCCAGACCAGGGCTTGAACCCGTGTACCCTGCATTGGCAGGCAGATTCTCAACCACTGTGCCACCAGGGAAGCCCTGCAATTTTTAAAAATATTTTTGATCCATGGTTGGTTGAATCTACAAATGCAGAACCCATGGATACAGAGGGCTGACTGTAATTCTTCAATGTTGAAAGATAGTTTTGCCAGATATAGAATTCTTGGTTGACAGAAGAAATTTCAGGACTTCAAATATATCACCCCTGCCTTCTGGCTTCCATGGTTTCTGATAAGAAACCCACTTTTATTGAGGATACCTTGTTATGTGATAAGTCACTTCTCTCTTGCTGCTCTCAGGATTCTTTCTTTGTCATTGGGGTTTGAAATTTTGACTATAATGTGTCTCAGTGTGAATCTCTTTGAGCTTTTTCTGCTTGGAGTTTGTTGAGCTTCTTGGAGATATATAGAGAGAGAAATATATCTTTCATCAGATTTGGGAATCCAGCCACTATTTCTTCCAGTAGTTTGCTGTCCCTTTCTTTCTGGGACTCTTATGATGTATATGTTGGTACACTTTATGCTGTCCCACAGGTCCCTCAGGCTCTGTTCACTTTTATTCACCCTTTTTTCTGTCCACTTCTCAAACTGAAGAATTTCAATTGCTTTATCTTCAGTTTCACTGGTCATTTCTTCTGCCTGCTCAAGTCTGCTGTTAGACCCCTTTAGTGAACTAAATGAAAATTTTCATTTTAGTTATTATACTTT